GGATTTATACTGAGTTCAATATTGTATAACTGTATTAATTCAACTGTGAACCTAAAACTTTTATAGCCACTTTTGAAAGAGATGTATCTTTGCTCTGGAAATTGTTATTGAGTATGTTAAAGCTGTAATGAAATGCTTCTTCTAAAAAATAAAAAAAAGAAAAGAAAATGTTCTGGGAGGATTGAGACAGATGTGAATTAATCAGAACTTGAATGAGAATCTATTTGACACTCCATTTGTGATGTATTTATCACCATTTAAAAATTAAAACCTCTGAAGGAGCATGTAAGATCAGCAACTGAATACTCTGTTAAGATACTGATTGCCTCCCAGAACTTGAAGATAAGACCCTATTGCTGAAGACACAACACACTTCAGATATAGGATTTGGAGCAATCAGCTGATCAGCTGGAACCGACCTGGAAGCCTCCTCCCTGAAGACTAGCTCTCATAGAGGACACTATGCAAGCAGCCAAGGGAGAAAAAACAATCAATGATCCTACCCAGTTATAATAAAGCCTTTGAACCACAACAAAGAAAATAAATAAATAAAATAAAAATAAAAATTTAAAAAGAAGTCCTGTCCTTAGTTTTCCAATTCTTCCCTCAGTTAAACTGGCAAGGAGTAACTAGGAGTTTGAAGACTGGGTGCCAGAATCCAATCCTGCCAGTCCATTTTCTCATCAGCAAATGGGAGAAAGAACAGAACTTGTTTCTTTCACAGCGTTATGAAGAGTAAATGGGAAAATATGTAAAGTGTTCGACTCCTAAGGGTGGCCAAGAGGCAGAGACATTATTACTGGCCCAGCTTTAAGGTCATTATTACTATAGTTTATAAGGAATAAGTGTTTTATTAGGTGAATTGCCTTCTGGGACCTACATTCCACGGAGAAAATACTGAGACTAACAATCTGCTTGGGGACTCCATCTCAGGAGGAGGAGGAACAGACCACATGTGGAGCAGTAAATTAGTTCTGAACTTTGGTTAGGCCATCTGTCATACACATCTTTCAAACCTGCCCCTAAATATGAATTACTGGAAAATGAGTAGACCTCTGAGAATCCAGTTAACTTTTTTATTCTGTTTTCTCCACTAAATAACACCTTAATCATCTTTGAAGTTTCAAAAGGAAACTCACATATATTTTCTCATTTGATACTTAAAATCCTGGGAGATAGGGCAACAAGATTATGCCCAACTGACCGATGAGACTCTGACTCTCTGGAGGATGACAACCTATTCAAAGTGACCTGGGCAGTGAACGATGGTACTGAGGTCACAACCTGATCTTTCCATTCTAATTCCACACACATCCCTTACATTATACTACCTTCCCACAAGTGCTCACTCCAGTAGACAACAAATTTGGTATCATTTTCATTGCCTATCTTCACTTGAAGATATTTTCTTGGTCGTATTTTTAGGACTTACCTATTGAAACGTCAATCAAAAGCTTGGGCTGCAGGTTTCTTCAGTAGGCCCAGAGTAATAGACACAATAGGAAAAGAAGGAACAAGTCGTCTCAATAGCAATAGAAAACAAACTTCCTTCTTCCTGATCAGGATAGTTAATGTCTCTCCATGCTTTCACAGGTGACACCCCTTGCTAGGTACAGCTGTATCACCTCGCCAACTACAGTCTCATTATTCATGCAAACATAGATAAGTAGTCTGTCTATAGTAAGAACACATAAAAGGAACATGACGGTCACACCTAACACCAACAAACAGTGAAACAAGCTGTTCATCGACAGCTAACAAAGTGATTTACTACCCCTCTACTTCCTTTTCCTTTCAACAAACATTATATTCACCTACTATGAACTTCATACTGAACCATTACAATGAGGAAGGACAATCTTTTTCAGAAGCACTCATGGTCTAAAAAGGTGAGGGTAACAGGCAAACCAAACTGATAATCACAGTACGATGCAATAAATGTTATGACATTGGTATGAACAGGATGCCAGACATCATTATGTGATCACAATAGGTTCCACAAAATTGCTTTTCTGTGCCTCTTTAAAAACTGATCTTTAGCCTGGCATGGTGACACATCCCTTTATTCCCAGCACTAGGGAGGCAGAGACAGGTGGATTTTCATGAGATTCAGGACAGCCTGGTCCACATAGAAAGTCCCAGGCCAGCTGGGGCTACAGGAAGACTCTGTCTAAAACAAAAAAACAAAAAACAAAACATCAAAAAACCACTGCAAACATAACCCTCATCTTTAGTCCCATCTATATCACTTTACCAACATTTTTACAAATTTTTTCAAAGTTGACTAGACAGTCAATTACTCTCTCTTTTACAGTGTAAAATTTATACTATTAAGAGGCACTGAAACCTATTTAATCAGTAAGGAATATATAAATGACAGCTTCTGTCATCTTGGTCTTCAGTTAGAGTTAACTTATTACCAATGATGGCTTAATTCAGATCAATTATTGAAGAAGTCACAACGTTCTTCCCAATCTGATCAACAACTGAAATAAACATACCAGCCCCACAGTTCTGCTCATCTTCAGATATTCTCCCAAAGGGATTTAGCCTGTTGACAAGGCTCTTAATTACAGTGATAGATACGTTTCTTTGCAATCTACCTGCATTATTTCATTACAAACTGAATGCACTGGCTTTAGAAAACACTTGTTCCGACCTAGGTTTGGCCATATTTATCTAGGACCCATTCCTTTCGAGGACATAAAGAGATAGACTTGGGGCTTTTGAAATTCCACCACTTCCCTCAGAAGCAATCCTCTGGAGTTGCTTTATCCAAGAGGCTGTAACTGAAGTTGGGTTCCTCTGGGCTTTCTTTTTTTACTGTCTCTTACCTTCAGCAAAGTACTGAAGTTAGACAAGATCCTGTATTTTGGTGCCCATCTGACAGAGAGCTATAGGATAGGGAAAATGATTTGGACAATCAGAGCCTGGCTCTGAATTCTATGGGCTGCTTCTTTACTGAAAGATGGGGAACGAAGACATTGTCCTTGTTGCAGGATTGCAATTACATTGAGACCCTGTCTCAGAAATAATAATGATAATAATTAAGGGCTGAAGAAATAGCTCAGTGGTTAAGAGTGCAGGCTGCTCTTGCAGAAGACCTGGGTTCAGTTCCCAGCACTCACATGGTGGGTCTGTAACTTCATTCTGTTCCAGAGGATCTGACGCCCTCCTCTGGCAAATGAAGGCATTGTGCACATGGGTGCACCTACATACATGTAGGCAAAATGCTGATATACATAAAAAATGAAATAAAATTTTAATGTAAAAAATAAACAACTAAAACATAAAGGGTGCCATAGATGAAGCAGAATTTCATTTGTATGTTTACTTATGTGAAGAAAGAGTAAACTCACCTTCAGTAATTCCAAAACATTTATCTAAAAAAAGTTAAGTGTAGAGCTAAGAAAAGGAATTAGAGGTAAAACAAACAAAAAAACCTGGTGCACATGAGAACAGTAAATGACCATTAAGTACAAAGATCATGTTTATTTCCAGAGAACTCCTCCAAACGGATTTCCCACTGTGGTTTCCTGCAGGGTACAGAGTAAAGGAGTCTACCAACAACCCACACGGGTACCCAGGCACTACTGAAGAGGTGGTACTGGACAGCTTTTCCTGTTCAAGTTTTAGAATCAGGGTGCCCAAGGAAGTAAACGTCTTTGAATATTAGGTTCTTCAAGTGTGAAGTGGGGGCTGGAATAGTACCTCCCACAGGAGTTATGAGGATTCAGTGAAATCCATCTAAACTATCTAGCAGAGAGCCTAGCTTATCAAGTTTGTTGGGACTGCTGGTTTGTTTTGCTATTACTCTAACTTTGTGTTATCACACGCCTGATTTGGGGAGCCATTCTCCAAGGTGCTTGGTAAAAGAGAGGTAAAGATTTACACACACATGCTTCATGTATGTGTGGTGCTGAGGTTGGAAACTAGGGCCTCTTGCCCAGGGCTCTACCACAGAGCCTTAAGCTGTAGCTTTCTAAAATTCTTTTGATGCTCCCGAGAGGGGATTAAAGGCAGGCATTCCTGAGGAAAGGAAATAGGACTTAGGTAAGAGGACAAGGCTGGCTTTGCAAATAATCAGAACAATGATTGCAATGCAGTGTTCTTTGTGGGATGCTGGAAAAGCCCACCCAGCCTCCTAAATCTCTTGCACTATGTCATCCTGTCTGAAACTCCATCTGTACAGAGAATTCCTTTGGTTTAGTAAAGCTCCAAGAAGGCAGCAGTGCTCCAGCCAGGTTTATCTCTTCTCCTCACTGGGCAGCCCCTGACCCCAAGGAGAGAGCCAGTTTTAAAGGCTCAAGGAGGTAGATGTCTCAAGGGCACTCATCTCTTCATAGGGAACAGGCTGGGGGCCACTCACAGTTCCCTCCTTCAAGACCAGAAAACCCTAGTAGGATAGGGGGGTTATGTACCTGGAAGGGGCGGTTCCTAAGGCAAAGTGGGCAGAACAGGGCTGATGGTGGAGCTGGAAAGGGGGAAGGAGACCAGGAAGTCCTCCTTCCCTTCTGCCCATAGCACCTACTGTGTGCTGCGGGCTGGAGCCTGGCCTTTCACTATAGAACTGATGGGGGAAGCTGGGGGTGGCGGTAAGCGAGTTGAAGCTCTTCTCTGGTCCAGGATTGGGCTTCCGAGGGGATGGAGCAATCAAGAAAGGGGAGTTGATGAAGACAGAAAACGGGGAAAGCTGTCAGGGACCTGCCCTGGTCCTCCCGCACAGCCCGAGATAAGGAAGCGCGGGCGCCCAGCTGGGCATCTGCCAAGGTTCCGGTCAGGGAACAGGCCCCCGCCGTGGGTGCGTTCCCGGGGTACCATGCAGTAAGCACCCCACCGCCTGAAATCCTGACCCGGCAGCCTGAGAAGCCAGGCTGGGAGAAAAGACAGCATCCGAACCCAGTTGTCAGGAAAGCTCGCGCTGCAAGGGGGCTCGGTCCCCAAGAGAGGGATTGGGGGGGCGGGCGGCTCTCAGGCCTGGCCAGGGGCGCAAGACTCACCCCTGAAGGAGTCCGGCATCCGCTCGGCTAGGGCGTCGTCCGACTGCCTTTTGTCAGCCATGCTGCGGGAGGGAGTTGCGCTCCAGTCCCGAAAGTCGAGTCACTAAATGCCGTTAGGTCGTCGGAGGACGCCAGACCCAATGTGTAGCCCCGCCCCCTTCCCCGAGGGCCCGCCCCCTCGCGGCAACCGGACCAATAGGTGCCCGGGTTCGAGCACGACATTTACACACACACACACACACACACACATACACACACACACCTTC